TAGTGGACAACCCGCTCGACGGCAAGTTCTTTGCACTTTACACTATATTACACGGTTGGAGGGGAGGGGGTGAGTATAGCGGTGGGCAAGTACATGGGTTGGTAGTGAGTAAAGTAGTGGAGAAGAGAGACTGAGAGACATGGGGCTAGAGATGAAAGACAGAGAGAGTGTGTGTATGAGAGAGGGTGTGTGTGTGAGAGAGAGAGAGAGAGAGAGAGAGAGAGAGAGAGAGAGAGAGAGAGAGAGAGAGAGAGAGAGAGAGAGAGAGACAGGGCAGAAAGAAAGAGACAGCAAACACAAGTGTGAACCTGTCCAAGTAAACGCCTTACTGGATGCAACGTTTCACATCCCCCGAAAGGAACCGGACAACAACGAGCGTTACTATGATGACGCCGTGAGAGCCTTTCACTGAATGAGAATACATCACTATAGCCACTAACTAGGTCAGGCAAAGATAAGCGATTCTAAGTCATTCTCTGGATTACGCGATTCCGAAAATGTTTCACGAAACTGTGGAATCAGGTGCTCATCTAGACATACTATAGGGTTAGTCGTATCATCTTAAAGCTTGTCCATTTGCCTTACTCTTGGTGGAAAGAATACTCATCTATGTTGAATAAAAGTCCAAATATTTGTCATAGAAGAAAGTGTGGTCGACTTTTGTCAGGTAACATTTACGCAAAAATGTCCACCATGGTTTGGTGACTTCCAAAGCCAGGGTGTCCTTGGATACTGCAAATTTGCCTTCTTTTTGGTGCGTTTGATCAACATTTTTGAAAAAGTGAAATACACGAAGGAATGTTTTTAGATGGACCTAAAAAGTGTTGAACCAAAAATAAAATATTATAAAATTGGAAAAAAAGTCGGTTTCTCTTATTTTATCATTTGACATGAGCCTGATTTTACTACAATGTCACAAATTATCTCGCGGACCAAAACAGACCAACACTGGGTGACATCGGTAGAAATACCCAAGTTCTCAAACATGAGAAGGACACTGACACTATAACAATGTGTCACTCGTGGGCATTTCATCTATTGCTTCCAGTTGGATCGGAAATTATTGGTTTTGATTTTCAAAAAGGACAGTTTTGTTTTGTTTTAAGTAAAAATTATCACCTCCTGTGGGAAGTATTGAAAACCTGAGAACAACACGGTTAAGTCACATTTTCCTAAAAAGATATTTCTGCATACAAGTGGAAAGTAGCGACAAATGGCTATCTATTAACAGCACTGACGAGTCGCTGGTCCGTTGCTACGACCACTTACTCTTGTTCAAAGAATCGACGCCTTCAGGTAACAACATGGTCAAGTCAAGAAAAAGTCTATTTAAGCCCTCTAATTCTAAACTATATGTATGCATTCCAAGAATGAGGCTTTTACATAATATTTTCTCGAAATCATCTAAATGTGACTTGACCTTGGTGTTATTCTAAGGTCAACTCATGGGACAGACTAAAACTGCTGGCGGGTAGAACCTGGCATCTTGCAGAAGACTGTATTATTGTGGTAAAAAGAACTTACTCGATTCTCAGACCAAATGAAAACAGTTCGGAAATGTACTTATTACTTTTCCTAACGACGGGTCAAAATGATGTACACATTAATCGAAACATAAAAGTTTGAACTTTAATTCAGCATGATTAGGTGACAGCTGATTTTGCACAGGGTTGATCATCTTACAAAATCATCTTACCATCCTCAATGCTCCTCGATGACCCCCAGTGCAATATAAGTCAATCAATAAAACACCACCTTCGCACCTTCGTCCTTCCTCTTGAGCAATACAAGTAAATCAATTATATACCACCTTCTTCCTTGGCTACAACATTCGTACAGATTTAGGTTAAACTAAAATCAATTAGGTTTTTTTAAACCTTCAGAAGCCTACGCACTTATGAAACTCTCTGAGAAATAACTAATTTAAAACATCGCTCATGGGCTGAGGAAAAGTAGTTGTCCTGATATAATCGTGTGTTTTTTGGGGGTATTTTTTTTTGTAAGTGTTTTACGGCGCTCGCAGCTGCATAGGGTCATCATAATAAGAGCGTGCGGGACACATTAAACATTTTCAGTGGGTAGGAAATTTTGAATTTTTCCCGGGAGCCGGCCGAAGCCTACTCTTATCGATTTTTAACCACAAAGGGATCTTTAACGTGCGCTACTTGCACACATGACCTTCAAGATTTTTCACCATCGTCCGAGTAGGCTAGATGTAGATCTTTCCTACCAGAAGATCAGAGGTATGGCTGAAAGACAGCAGTAAGAAGGAGCCAAAGAGAATCAGTAGAAAGGCTGCAGAAAGAGTCAGGGGCCCAGAGGAGGGGGCAAAGGAGGTGAGAGGGGTGGGGGCAGAGAGTGGAGACGACAGCAGACGAAAGAACAGTGCTAGAGAACAGGAAAAAAGGTGAAAGAAGACAATTTAGAGAAGAAAAATTTCCGTCGTTATCCGGGCTCGAACCCCTTACCTATTGAATAAGAGGCGAATACCTTAACGTCTAGGCCACGAGAGCCCTATATATAATCATGTTTGGACGCTTCATCACTTACAAACAAGAAGAACAACAACATGGCGAGATTTACAACTGCATTCTGCAAACATGTTTATTTTTAGAAAAAGTCATTGTTCATTTATTTTTTCGTTCGGCATGCCTTCAGTAGCACACAAATTTGATGTGTGTGTGGTTGGAGGGTGTTCTAGCGTGGTTTTGCTCATTCTTTCCTAACACACATGTGTAATATAAAACATGTTGCCTTTATCTCTCCTACTTCTTCTCTTTGTATGTTACTCTCTAAGAACACATTGAGACTTCGGCGCTTATATGACCTAATTCTGTTGCGGATGCAATAAAATTCTTACAAAATATAATTTAAAAAAATACACGTGCGCAAAACCAAACACTCAACCCCCAAACTACAAAAAGCAGCCCTGGACATCTCGGAAACTTGTTTATCTTATTTAAGCCCCAAATAGTCAATTTTTCATTTTCTTGCTTTTTTTTCTTTTTAGTTAACCGTGTGCTCACATGCTAGCCTCTCCCCCCCCC